GGTTTAGGGTTTCGGGTTTAGGGCTTGAGGCCTGGCTTGCTTCATGCGCGCCTCCTCTGGCTGGTTCTTCGTAGGGAATGAGGGAATGAGGGCCCTCTAGAACGTATACCCTTTAAAGGAATATATCGGGCCCTAAACCCTAAACCCTAAACCCTAAACCCTAAACCCTAAATCCTGAACCCTGAACCCTGAACCCTAACACCCTAGACCCTAAACCCTCATTCCCTACTAAGAACCAGGGCCTCCTCTCTTGCTTGGTTTGACCACTGCTTGACCACTCGGCCGGGAGCCAGGGTTTAGGGTTTAGAGTTTAGGGGCTTAGGGTTTAGGGTTTAAGGTTCAGGGTTTAGGGTTTAAGGTTAAGGGTTTAGGGTTTAGGGTTTAGGGTTTGGGGTTTGGGGTTTGGGGTTTGGGGTTTGGGGTTTGGGGCACAGGGTTCCCTAGCACGATTGACCCGGCTTCTTGTGCCCGGATACCGAGGTCGTAGACCAAGACCATTGCGACCACGTTGACATAGAAGATGCGGTGGTTGATGGAGCTCGTGGCCTGAAAGATTTCTTGGCTGCACTTAGCAGTGTAGCTAAAAAATAAAATTCTAGCTGCCTTACTAAGAAACCCAATAAACCCAAAAAGGCTAAGGATCTAAAGGTACAGTAAAGCACCTCAGAGAAAGATTTGAGCATCTCCGAAAGTGGGGGGGAACCCCTTATACACCTCCAACATACTATAGAATCCGTTTAGAGGAACCCAGAACGGGGCACCCCCTGTTTTCAGAAACCCCATTGTGGTTCACAGGGTTTAGCAACTCTAGGGGTTGTCCTCGACACTCAGATACGCAACAGTAACTGTGCTGCACGTTCACCCTAAACCCTAAACCCTAAACCCTAAACCCTAAACTCTGTTGTCAAACATGAATAGCACCACTATCAGACACCTGCTGGCGTGTGAAGCCCCAAATCGACAAAGCGTGTCAGCCCGTCAATGTTCTAACCTGCAAGTCCCTCTACCGAAGATTGCTTACTTGGAGGTTCAGGGTACCTATAACCCGATTATAGGTGTAGTTATAACCCATTTAAGTACCCTCATGAGGTTAAATTGGGTGACGAAAATAGGGGACCACTGATATAGACCCCCAAAAAAGTAGGATGCCGTTATAACAAGGACCCCAAGAAGGCAGCCCCTTATTTTCGCAAACCCCCTTATAATTATAAGTACAGATATAACTGGGTTGCTAAGTACAGTACCATCAACCTCCAAGTAGGATCTGCTGAAAACATGGATGCACTTCGTGCAAAGTGAACAATCCCTTCCCTCTAATGTTAACCCCTGCCCCACCCCCTAGGGCTTTTGTTTAGGGCTTATAAGGGTTTAGGGTTTACTCCTCATACACTATGATGTAACTATAATGGGAGTGCTTGATAATAGTAGGTGTTGGGGGGGGGGGGGTGAATTTTACGGGGAAGAGAAGAGCGGAACTGAACCCAGAGGACTGCGGTGCTTTGTCAGGGGGCCTCGGGGAGAAATAGAGCTGAGCCCCTGAAACCTTAGCATTTGAGTCTTGAAGAGAGGCTCTTAGGTGGAGGGTTTAGGGTTTAGGGTTTAGGGTTTAGGGTTTAGGGTTTAGGGTTTAGGGTTTAGGGTTTAGGGTTTAGGGTGCCTAAACCCTAAACCCTAAACCCTAAACCCTAAACCCCAAACCCCAAACCGAAGCTCCTGAACGGCCCCGGCGCCTGCTGCGTCGCCTTGTAGTGCATCAGGGGCGTCTCCGGGGATGCCGCCTGCGCCCCAAAACCCTAAACCCTAAACCCTAAACCCTAAATTCAAACCCTAAACCCTAAGCCTTAAACCCCAAACCCCAAACCCTAAACCCTAAGCCCTACCAGCAGGCCGTCACCCACTGTAATTAAGACCTAGGAATGCTCGGGGGAAAAGTTCTGCGGAAAGGACGTTCGGGGCTTGAGCTTGAGTTGGAGTGAGGGGCTGTGCTCCTGGTCATAATTCTGAAACGAACACCAGCACCCGTAAACCGTGAACCACAAACCCTAAACCCTAACTCCTAAACCCTAAACCCTAAATCCTAAACCCTAACCCTAGCTGACCCCAGGATCTCCTTGCGGTAAGCCCTAAGGGCCTTCAGAAGCTTAGGGTTTAGAGTTTAGGGTTAGGGTTTAGGGTTTAGGGATCTGGTGCGTTCTCAACTCATGTGTCATTCCACTCTAGACAACTCCGTCACCTCCACACCCCCCAACAAAAGCTTACATGTACTCTTCCGACTGTCCCCCAGAACTACCGGGAATTCGGGACGATCGAGGGACTGCTGGAATAAACCCTAAACCCTAAACCCTAAACCCTAAACCCCAAACCCTAAACGCTAAACCCTAAACCCTAAACCCTAAACCCTACCTCCTGACACCGAGGGAGCCTTCGTCGTGGCGAAGCGGAGGGTTGCCGGTGAAGGGAGCGCCGGGCCTGAGCTTAGGGGCTTGGTTTAGGGTTTAGGGCTTAGGGCTTAGGGCTTAGGGTTTAGGGTTTGGGGTTTAGGTTTTAGGGTTTCGGGTTTAGGTTAACTTTCCAGGGTCTTTACAGGGTTGTAGGAGTGTTCTAGTGTTTGTAGGGCTTCTTGGAGGGCGTTTACGTGTTTCGTATAAGAAGTTTAGGAGGTTCCCACTAAATTTTGGCAGAGTTTCGGTGTTTTGGGATTAAGGGGTTTGAAGGGCTGGAGGCCTAGGGGTTGCAAGGTTTAGGGCTTCCAGGTCTTCAAGACTTAGGGTTTAGGGTTTAGGGTTTAGGGTTTAGGGTTTAGGGTTTAGGGTTTAGGGCTACGGGAAATCTGGCTGTTGGTCTGGGGTAGGCCACCGAAGCAACACACCCCAGATCCTGAATGTGAAACAAAGTTCGGACCTTACCCGTCGAACCCAGCTCGAGCATGGACCTCCTTGCGAACAGAGCCCGCACATAGATGCACACAAACCGAACTCAAGGGAGCCGAGCATGAATGGCATAAAACCCTAAACCCTGAAGCGTAAACCCTAAACCCTATAAACCCTATAAACCCTATAAACCCTATAAACCCTATAAACCCTATAAACCCTATAAACCCTATAAACCCTATAAACCCTATAAACCCTCTAAACCCTCTAAACCCTATAAACCCTGTAAACCCTATAAACCCTATAAACCCTATAAACCCTATAAACCCTATAAACCCTATAAACCCTATAAACCCTATAAACCCTATAAACCCTAAACCCTAACCCTAAACCCTAAACCCTGAACCCTGAACGGGGCAACTATCTAATCCCCAAACCCTCAAGAGCCCCCCACTCTTGAGCCTAGGCTCGCGTCATCAGGGTGGGCGCAGCCCGGGACACAGCGCTGCGGAGTAGGGAAGCCATCCGGACCTGCTATTTTCACCCTAAACCCTAAACCCTAAAGCCTAGACCCTCAACCCTAAACCCTAAACCCTAAACCCTAAACCCTAAACCCCTAAACCCTAAACATTAAACCCTAACCCTAAACCCTAAATGTGGCCGAGAGTCCGGTCCCCCTAAAGATTTTGCCCTAAACCCCCGAGAGTCAGCTTGGAGGGTGGCAATAGTCAACCCCTACACCGTAAGGGTGGGGGGGGGGGGGGGGGGGGGGGGGGGGGGGGGGGGGGGGGGGTTTGGGAGCTTGAGGGATGTGGGTTTAGGGCTTAGGGTTCTTGAGCTTTTGGGCTTAGAGGGTTTCAAGGCTTAGAGCTGTAGGGCTTGTAGGGTATTTAGGGTCTGGGTTTTGGGATGTAGTGCGAAGTTGAAGGGGTTCAAGGGCCTTAGGGGCTGAGGGCCTGGGGCCGGAGGTGGAAGGCTTGATTTGGCAGATTGAGGACCACTACACCCCAAACCCCGCTCCCTAAACCCTAAAGCGATGCCTTTGGGCTTCAAAGGCTTTCAGAGCTTTAGGGGCTGGAGGTCAAGTAGGGTGTTCAGTGCTGGCCTGCAGGATCCGAATCCCTCAGCAGCCTATACCTCTCAAGGGATTAAGACTCGTACCCCTCAGGTTGTACCCCTAAAGGCTCCCCTTAAACAAAAACGCCAAATGTGGCGCGTATACTACCTTAAGGACCTTTAGAAAGGGTTTCCCCAAAAATCCAAGGCACAACCTTATTAAGGGGTCCAAGGCACAACCCCTAGAACCTCGAACCTCCCTGAAGGAACCGTTTGACAAGGGCCTAGTGTACCTCAATAGGGTCATGCCAAAGCTTACAAGACACTTCGAGTAACCCTGAAAGCGCACATGGCACATGTAGCCTCGTGGATTGCAGTAAGGTAGGGTTGCGATCCCAACGTACTTGGTAGGGGAGAGATTAGAACTCGACTTCTGCATTTGCACTCTGCGCGTTGGGTTGCGAGGCGTTTGGCCACGGCCACAGTAGCGGGAAAATTACCACGAGCAAAACCAGAGTCGCAACAAGGAGTTCAAGAACTCCTGTCGCAGCTCACGTGCTCAGCTTTGTGACAGGGCGGCCTAGCTTTTAAGGCTCTAGCCTACGTTGAGCCCACATTTCGGCACAGCTGATGCCGCTTCCCGTTTGGGAGGCGGCTTCCTGCTACAACTCCTACACAGCCACACTCCTCCGAACAATGTCAAGATCAGGAGGCGTGGACACAACCCAGCACATCCTCATAGACTAAATGTCTCCAAGGACTTGCTCTGGGCCGAGCCAACGCCAACACCCTCGAACTCTGACTTCTCAGATCTGTCAAAAGCTACTAAATACTGAACCCTAAACCCTAAACCCTAAATTCTGGGGTTTCGGGAGGTCTTCGGTTTTCGCTTGAAGGGGGTTGACTCTAAGGCTCGGCCCCTGAAGAAGCCACAGGAATGGGAGGGGTAGAAGGATGCTGCGGCTCCCTAAACCCTAAACCCTAAACCCTAAACGCTAAACCCTAAACCCTAAACCCTAAACCCCTAAACCCCTAAACCCTAAACCCTAAACCCCTCCAAAACCCTCAGTTCGGCTAGCAGCACATCTTCGCGCCCCCCTCCAAGATGCCTGCCTTCTGCAAGACATCACTGGCCTTGGCCGTGACTTTCTTCCGGCCCCACATGTCAGTGACATAGCACTGGCTCACTTTCTCGGGGACTGGAGCTGTGGGAGTGTCGATCTTTCCTCCAGGGACAGCTTGGCCCTGTAGGGCCTAAAGGGCTTAAGTTAAACGGCTAGGGTTGCATCCTAAACCCTAACCCCTAAACTCAAACCCAAAATCCAAAACCCAAAACCCAAAACGGGGAAGTTAAGAAGTTCTCATCTCCTCCTTTGTTCCGGTGGCTCGGGTCACGGGTTCAGTTCGGGTCCCAGGGCCAGGGCCTCACGAAGTTCAAGGGCCCCCAAATTCTTGAGGCTTTCTGCCTAAACCCTTCTGATTTGTTAGGGACCCCAAACAACGTTCCAACGGTGCGTACACGCTCGCCGAAAACGCCGCGTTGTAGACGGGAAGGGCAAATAACGTGGCAGGGGCAGTATTTCTGAGCTTTGAGAGTCAGGGATGGTGAGAGTACAGCGGACAAAAAATCGAAGGGAAAATTGACTACAATGCGCTGGGGGCTAGGTTTGGGCGACATGAGGGCGGTCGAGGTCCAGACATTTTAGAGCTTCAGCCAGATCTTGTCTCGACGGACGTTCTCATAGTTCTCATCGTGCGGGCATGGATGTTCTTGTGAAAACACTGTAAATACCGATGTGGGCGGGGCGTCGCCGGCGCCCGTTTACGTGCCGTTGGAGCCCCAAACAAAGCCCCCTTCTTTTGACGGGTTGGTTACCTTTACGCGCATCATGTTCGGCCTTGGGGATTAGGGTTTAGGGTCAAGACCATGTAAGAGGGCTGGGACTTTGGCTTGGGGACCAGCATGCTCCATCCAAAGGAGCTGAAGGGTTTTGGAGCTGAGTTTAGGAGTTTGGGCTAGGGTTTAGGGTTTTCGGTCTGTAGACCCCAATTCCACCCCAAACCTCAACCCTTGATTCTAGGTAGCAGGAGGCGAATGGCTCGGGCTTCACTCTAGCTGTTGAACCGATCTGCTGTCGAAGCCCTCAATCTGGAGGCAAAGCGCCGAATCCTTGCCAAAACCCCGTACCCTCAACCCTAAAGCCTAAACCCTAAAGCCTAAACCCTAAACCCTAAGCCCTAAACCCTAAACCCTAAACCCCAAACCCCCCCCCCCCCCCCCGGGGCGCCTTGCAACGATGTGCTCGCATGACCCCAAATGGCGTCATGGATGCTCTCCTCCACCGCTTCAGCCCCGGAAAGAACCTGCGCTGGTGCTTTGCTTGGCTGCACTTAGGAGGCCCGAAACCCTAAACCCTAAACCCTAAACCCTAAACCCTAAACCCTAAACCCTAAACCCTAAACCCTAAACCCTAAACCCTTACTAGGAAGCCCAATAAACCCAAAAGGCTAAGGATCTAAAGATACAGCAAAGCACCACAAAGCTTTACAGGCGTCTGTAGGGGAAGCAACACCCATGCACCTTTGCCTTTGCAACATTTTGCAAAAGGAAAGTTCATTGTGCAACCCTAAACCCTAAATCCTAAACCCTAAACCCTAAACCCTAAACCTTAAACCCTGAACCCTAAGCTCCTGGAGTTTAACCTCAAAGCCTAACATAAGTATAAATTGCCCCGGGCCTCAGCTTGAAAACCATCATTTGCCCTAAAAACACCAAGGCCCTAAGACCCCACAGGTTTAGGGTTTTTTTCGGATCTTTTCACAATACCAAAGGAATCTATAGACATATGGGTATTTCCCAAAATACGCGCACCACTTCTATATACCAAATCGAATCAAATCCCCAAGGGGATGAGACCACCCAAAAAGGTACCCTCCATTGTCGGAAACCCCCCAAGTGGTTTTGGGGCTGTCTTCCGTGGCTTTTAACCCTAGTACCCTAAACCCTAAACTCTAGCCGTTTAGGGTTTAGGGTTTAGGGTTTAGGGTTTAGGGTTTAGGGTTTAGGGTTTAGGGTTTAGGGTTTAGGGTTTAGGGCGCGCCGATCCTTCGTCCACAAGTTGTGGAGCTCCGACTGGACGGCCTGTCGGTGACTTGCGCTTGAAGATTTCTTAGGGCTGAAGATTTGGAAGGCTTAGCAGGGTTTAGGGTTTAGGGCTTTGGGCTTAGGGTTTTGGGTCTAGGGTTTAAAAGTTTAGGTGTTTTGGACGTTGCGGGTATAGGAGGGTGAACTCTCCCTAAACCCGAAACCCTAGACCCCACACCCTAAACCCTAAACGGTAAACCCTACACCCAGACTTTGGCAACATCCACTAGAGGTCCCTCCAACCCTAGAGCACGGAAACCTATATCCAAAATCCTTGGGTTTCCTTGACCCTAAACCCTAAACCCTAAACCCTAAACCCTAAACCCTAAACCCTAAACTCTAAACCCTAAACCCTAAACCGCTGCCTGCTCCTCGTCCACCACAAAGGCGGCTGCACCGGCGAGGCTGGTCACCCAATGTGGCACCTCCTCGACCTGCAAAGCCTGGTTTAGGGTTTAGGGCTAGGGTTTAGGGTTTAGGGTTTCGGGTTTAGGGTTTAGGGTTTAGGGTTTGGGGTTTAGGGTTTAGGGGTATAGGGTATAGGGTTTAGGGCTTAGGGTTTGGGGACCCCTAATGTAGGAGCCCCGAATTGTAGGATTCCCCCAACCTAGGGCCGAAACCATTTAAGCACCACAAAAACCTATAAGCCCAAAACAGATCAACTCTAAGCATGAACCCTAAACCCTAAACCCTAAACCCTAAACCCTAAACCCTAAACCCTAAACCGTAAACCCCAAACCCTAAACCCTAAACCTGAACTCTTTTCTTTGCCAGCTCATGCCGAACATCCGTCTGATGGTGCCGTGCAGGGTTGAGGGCTGTGAAGGCTTTGGGTTTTGGGTTTAGGGTTTAGGGTTGTGGTTGCTTAGTGCGGTTAGGGCGTTTAGGAGTTTAAGGTTTGGAGTGGCGGTGATGAATAAGGGGGTAGGGTTTAGGGTTTGTTGGGTCTTGAGGGACAGGCTGGAACACCCCCCGCCCAAACCCTAAACCCTAAACTCTGAACCCCAAACCCCAAACACCAAACCCCAAACCCCAAGCCCTAAACCCCAAAAGCCGAATAGCGCGAAACCCTCCAAGGTCGCCCGCAAACCTACCTCCCTAGTTAAAAGTGAACTGGTTAGGGTCTAGGGTTCAGTGATCTTCCTACAAAATGAGGCACCCCCCCCCCCCCCCCCTCCCCCCAAACCCTAAACCCTAAACCCTAAATCCTAAACCCTAAACCCTAAACCCTAAACGTTTGAAAGCCAGAACAGGAACCTGGCACAGGGCCACGGCAAAGTGGCAGCAGTTGCAGTGAAGAAGGTCGTAGTCTTGTCCCTGGAACCTCTGCTCTTCAGCTTCTAGGGTTTTTTGAGGGTTCAGGGTTTAGGGTTTAGGGTTTAGGGGTTTAGGGGTTTAGGGTTTAGGGTTTAGGGTTTAGGGTTTAGGGTTTAGGGTTTAGGGCAGGTTCAATGACCATATCTTGTTGTTGCATACCACGAGCACGCCCGGTGGGAGAGGCAATTCGAGCGGTAACAGTTGGAGAACCCGAAACCCCCAACGCCAACTCGACACAAAATCCTAAAGCCCTTGCGTGGTGGCCATGTCAAGAAGTCGTCCGGGTTTAGGGTTTTAGGCTTTAGGTTTTAGGTTTTAGGGTTTAGGGTTTAGGGTTTAGGGTTTAGGGTTTAGGGTTCATGATGAGATTCTGGACCATGGTTCGGGTTTAGGGCGTAGGCGATGGGTAGGTGGGACGGAGGGGGCAGGGAGACACCCACGAAGCGCCAGGGAGGATTCTGGAGGTTCTATTCTGACTCCTAAGCCCTAAACACACTAAACCCTAAACCCCGAACCCCTAACCCTAAACCCTAAACCCTAAACCTTAAACCCTAAACACTCACCCCATGTCTAACTGGCTTATACGACATCTTCACTTCTGCTCGTCAGAGGCCGACTTGCTTTTGCCAAGACGCTGGGTTGCCAGCTTGGCGATGGCCTCCTGAATCTCCTGGGTGTTGAAGGTTTGTAGGGGTTTAGGGTTTAGGGTTTAGAGTTTAGGGTTTAGGAATGTTAGGTTTTAGGCTTAAGGGTTAAGTGTGTAGCTTGGGCTTTCTACCATTCGGGCTTGTTCTTCGGAGGTTGCAAACTTCTGAGTAGGGAAATGAAGGAAGTAGGCAGCATACATATATATATATATATATATATGTATGTATGTATGTATGTACATATGTATGTATAAATATATAGCTATTTATTTATATTCATTTTTAAGTATATATGTAAATAAATATAGTTCATCCCCATCTTTCACCCTTTAAGGGCATAGATCCTCGATAGCTTGACTCAACATGCGAAACTCGACCTCGAGAACACTTGGTAGTCCAGGAACCGTTTTATATCATGCCACCCTTTTTTCAAACATGTTCCTTCATAAGGGAACCTTGAACCCAAAAAGTGAAAAAATGTACCACTGGGATATCAAGAATATGACCGTTCGGTCCGTGTAAATCGCCCGGAGCAGTTGACATCCACATGTAGCTTTGTTCCCCTCCCCACTACAAATACCCAATCCCCAATCCTAAACCCTAAACCCGAAACCCTAAACCCTAAATTCTTGCAGCCAGCGCGCCTCCTGTGTGAGAGGGGTCTTGCCCAGCTTCACGGACTTTCGGAACATGAACGGATAAGACCGAGGTTTACCTGTAGGGTTTAGGGTTTAGGGTTTCGGGTTTCGGGTTTAGGTCTACCTGGTTTATGGGGTTCTTAAGGGAAGGGGGTTCATGGGCGGTAGGTACCTCGGGAGCTTTAGGGAAGCTTAGGGGGCCTTAAGGAGTCGTGGGGAGTATTTGGGAACCTTGGCTTACCTGGTGTCAAGGGACTTTACCTTGGACCCCTCAGGTGGTACTTTGGGTTTGGGGACCCCTTTTTTTGGAAGGTTCCTAAGGGAATATCAGGTTCCTAAGGGCATATAAGGGCCATATTGGTATATTCAGGGTACGAGTCTTGACCCCTTGACTGGTCTGAGCGTTTCAGGCTTAGGGGCTGGGCAGTTCTAGCTTCTTTGGGGTTGAACTTAAGTCGACTCCTCGATACAACGAAGTCCCTAAAAGCCCCTAAGCCCTAAACCCTAAACCCTAAACCCGAAGCCCTAACTTGGCAGCGTGATGAACCAGCAAGTTGCACAGCCGGTGCAAGGCCAAGGCCAAATCTAAACTCAACAGGCAAAATCTTGAAAAAGCCTTGCAGGCCGCAAAGCCCTATCAACCCTTATCAGGAATCCCTTAGGTGTCCTTCTTCTGCTACAGGATACACTCTTCTCATGGCCTGTTTTGTCATGGCTGTGTTTCGAAACAGAACCGCAGGGTTTTCGGTGTGCACAGGAAGCCGTCTACCGCCTCCCAAAAATACCCGGGCCCAGCATATTTCAGGGGTTTAGGGTTTAGGGTTTATGGTTTAGGGTTTAGGGACCCAAAACCCTAATCATTCCTCAGCTCTAAACAAGCTGACTAAGACGAGGGTGCAGTGAAACACGCCGGAGCCCTTTTCCGTGTAGCCGTAGGCCCACTCTTCCTGGACTGTGAGCATTCGCAGATTCAGCAGATAAGGGGTTTGGTGTGTAGTGTTCACCCTAAACCCAGATGACCCTAAACCCAGAACTTTGAGCGGTATACTTCAATCTTGAACGGCCACTCAGCATACATGCATGGCGATGCAATCACACGAACAAACCTTCAGATTGGGAAAAACTAACCCTAGGCAACGCTGAACCCTACACCCTCAGTCGTGAAACCCTAAACCCTAAATTCGAAACCCTAAACCCTACACGCTCAACCGTGAAACCCTGAGACCCTGAAGCCCTGCAACTTTAGCGGTTTCGGGTTTAGGGTTTAGGTCTTGGGGATTTTAAAGTGATTCTAGTACCCCCCCCCCCCCCCCCCGCCCCCCCACTGATTCCCTAAACCCTAAACCCTAAACCCGAAACCCTCAACCCTATTCTAAGCCCTATTAGGGCCTGTTCGGGAACATCCCAAGTTTAGGGTTTACAGGGGCTCCCCAGGAAATATAAGAGTGGGCTCAGTGTGTGTTTTGGAGACCTTGCTCCAGAGTTTCAACGCGCAAAACAGAAACCTAAAAGCCCTATGACTTAACGCCCTGAAGCCCTATAGCCGGTAGCCCTAACCTCTTATATCCTAGAGCCCAAAACCCTAAGCCCCAGACACCCCAAAAACGTACCCTAAACCCTAAACCCTAAGCCCTGAGCCCTAAGCCCTAAACCTTCCCCCGGTCCTTTTCACCGATCTGTGTGCCTGAATGGTAGACACCGGTGCCAATGAGGTAAAGGACGTCATTGAGGTAGTCCATCTTCAAACCTGTGTAGGGTTTGGGGTTCAGGGTTTAGGGTTTTGGGCTTACTTAGGGTTTACCTGTACACTAACAATCCTTAATAGGGCTTACAGTACCCCTTATTGAAATCCCTATTCAGGACGGTTCGTACAAGGCTGAGCATCCCAACCTACACCCCAAAACCACCCCCCGTTTGGCGGAGATTGAGAGGCCCTAGGCCAAGCCCTAAACCCTAAACCCTAGGCGTCTTAGCACCCTGAAAGCAAGATCACAGACCCCGCCGTGGCTAGCTAGCAATGTAAACCCCCTAAACCCTTATAAACCCTAACCCCTAAGCGCAAACGGCGTATAAAACACTCCGCCCACATAAGATGCACTCCGTGCCAAATCCGCTAGCATCCTTGGGTTCTTCTTCGTCCACCCTAAATCCTAAACCCTAAACCCTGAACCGGCGGTTCAAAACTTTGCTCCTCCCGATGTGGCTTGCTGTGCTATTCAAAGTGGGATGTAGGATCCCCTAAACAAAGGGGGAGTTTAGGGTTTAGGGTTTAGGGTTTAGGGTTTAGGGTTTAGGGTTTAGGGTTTAGGGTTTAGGGTTTAGGGTTTAGGGTTTAGGGTTTAGGGTGGAGACAGGATGCTGTTTCCCACATCGTAGACGTTGAGGATCACATCCTTCTCCTGGATGACCTGCACATTAGGGTTTAGCAGGCCGCAAGGTAGAAGAAGTCATGCTGTTGGCGGCTTACGGTTTAGAGTTTAAGGTTAAGGGTTTGGGGTTTGGGGGTTTGGGGGTTTAGGGGTTTAGGGGTTTAGGGGTTTAGGGGTTTAGGGGTTTAGGGGTTTAAGGGTTTAGGGGTTTAAGGGTTTAGGGGTTTAGGGTTTAGGGTTTAGGGTTTAGGGTTTAGTCTGGCCTCTTCCTTGCCTGAACAGCACGTGGAGCCCATCGCGCTCGAGGCGGCGTCCGAACCACTGGATGTGTGGGGTCTCTTGAGCGTGCTCGCATTGTGGACAAAGACTCGGCGGCCACGAACGCACCCTCTAAGCCCTCAACCAAAGGCATCGTCACGCATCTCTTCCGGATTAGCACGACCCTTGCAATGGAGAGTTTAGGGTTTAGGGTTTAGGGAGAAGAGGCTACATGCCAGGATTTTCTAGGCTCGAATCGAAAACGACATGCCAAGGCAAAGTGATGTCGAGCGCTTCGCTGTTTTCTGCCCGATTTGCCAGGCCCCTGCAGATCTGCAAGGTCGATGTGAAAACCCTAAACCCGAAACCCTAAACCCTAAACCTTGAACCCTAAACCCTAAACCCTAAACCCTAAACCCTAAACCCTAAACCCTGAACCCTGAACCCTAAACCCTAAACCCTAAACCCTAAACCCTAAACCCTAAACCCTCAACCCTAAACCCTAAACCCTAAACCCTAAACCCTAAACCCACCCAAGCCGGAGTCGACTTCAGAAGCTATTCTTGTTGCAATGCACCTTAGCAGCTGAGGGAACACCGGCAAAGAAAACCATAGTGGCTGTGTTTAGTGTTCGCTCTTTCCCCCTAGAAAGGGGGTTTAGGGTTTATTTAGGGTTTAGGGTCTACAGTTTTCACATGCGCATACGCACCATTTAAGCAAATATAGACCCAGAGAAAATTCGCCTCGGCCCACCCCCCCCCCCCCCCACCCTCCCCCACCCCCCCCCACCCCCCCCCCCCCACACCCCCCCCCCCCCCCACCCCACCCCCCCCCCACCCCCCCCCCCACCCCCCCCCCACCCCCCCCCCACCCCCCCCCCACCTCCCCCCCCCCCCCCCCACCGCGGCGCGCGCACAATTAACAATCCTTGCAAAGGGAGGCAGTGATACGTCCAAGTCACGGGAATAGCATCCTCGTTTCGTAGGACCGCCTCTCTCCACACGGTCCTTGCCACACCTGAGCTTCATGACCAAGATCCCCAATTCTACTTCGTGCTTTCCCCCCACTTAAAGGTATGCCTCCTGCATTTTGTCAACCGTTAAAGGCTGGCAGGCCCACTGCGGCAGAAAACACTCAAGCCTACAGCTTCCGAAGATAGGGTCTAGGCTTTTGAGTCATGGCAGGTGTAGGCATAGGCTACATAAGAAGTACCTAAGTTTAGGGGTTAACTATGACATGCTAGCACTGCACTGGCCTGCAAGCTGACATTCGCGTGGTGTGAAGACTCGTGTTCAACCGCGGGACGTGCCGAGCCCGTGAGAACCATCAACGCCATGGCAACGAGGACGCCGGGCATGATGCTGGGCATCAGAGATCTCGCTGTAAACCCTTGGATTTAGGGTTTAGGGTTTAGGGTTAGGGCTTAGGGTCCTCTGTAGAGGGCAGATCGCGCGAGGAACAGAAGAACGCACTGCTGATGCAGCACCGCAAACGGCTGCAGAGAAGCGCAATGTCAAGGTCAAACGGATAGCTGTTGCAAGAGCTTCACTGTCTGGGACCCTTATACTCACTGCCCCCATGTAAATTCCAAACCCTAAACCCTAACACTCCAACCATATACTGCAAGTCCCCATTTACCTATACGTGGCCCCAAGACGTATCCCCTGGGTCACATTATGAGGGTCCCTCCTTTTCTCCGATCTGCTCGGCCCTGCAGGTCTGCAAGGTCAATGTCTGAACCCAACAAGCCCGAGTTCACTTCAGAAGGTATACTTGTCGCAGTGTGCCTTGGCAGCTTCTGTGACGCTAGCAAAGAAAACCAAAGCTCCCGTGTTTTGGGTTCGCTTCTTTCCCCTAGCATGAGCGTTTAGGGTTTCGGGTTCAGGGCCTACAGTTGCTACATGCGCATTAATATATTACACGCCATCAAAGCAGATATAGACCCAGAAGCACACTCTTTGCCAAGGGAGGCCATGATACGCTCAAGGAACGGGAATAACATCGAACGTCGCTTGATGGCGGGGTGTTGCAGCTGCTGCCGCAACCACTTTTCGTAGGACCACCCGTTCCCGCCACACAGTCCTTGCCATACCTGAGCTCAACTACCTAGACCCCCCCCCCAATTCTAGTTCGTGCTCGGGGAACCACAAGATCTTCTTTTTACTGACCTTGCAATGAAGCACTGCACCTACCGGAACATACACCAAATCAACATGTGACTACAGCTGTGGGTCTAGGTAAGCTATAGGACCGGTTGTGGGGTTCCGACGTTTCTTCCAACTGCAGATTCCTAGGGTATCTTGGTAGGCCAGTAACCATACTATGATAAGGGCACCCTTTTTTGGGTTGGTTATTTTATAAGGGAACCCATAACCAAAAAAAGAGGGAAAAAAAAGGGGTAAAGGGTACTACCAGGTATAGATGAGGGCAGGGAGCGATGGTTGATTCGACCTCTAAGACCCTGTGGAGCAGTTCTTCAAAGCTTCAAAGCTACCCCAGACCTGGACCCCTAGACCCCCTAAACCCCTGAAACCCCTAAACCCCTTAAATCCCCTAAACCCCCTAAATCCCCTAAACCCTTAGGGTTTTGGGGTTTCGAGCTTCGGGTTTTGGAGTTTCTGGCCGTTTCGGGTTTAAGGTTTTGGTGTTATAGAAGGGCTGGGCCGAGGCGTTGGCGCCCGGATGGCCGCTTTATCCGTTTTGGGAGCCTGGCTACGTCTTGCCCCGCCAGCCACTACTGGCAACAACGCGAGTGCACGCGCAGCAGCTTCCTCCCTGATCGAAGTCCTTGTCAACGCTGTGCTGGCTGGCCTCGTGCATTTTGTCAACCCACACACACATCTCTGCAACCTTCAAGCCTACAGCGAACCGTGCCGGATTGGCTTCCGAAGATAGGGTCTGGGCTTTTGAGTCATGGCAGGTGTATAGGCATAGGTTACATAAGAAGTACCTAAGTTTAAGGGTTAACTAGGACTGCACTGGCCTGCAAGCTGACATTCGCGTGGTGTGAAGACTCGTGTTCAACCGCGGGACGTACCGAGCCCACGAGACCCATCAACGCCATGGCAACCAGGATGCGGGTCATGATGCTGGGCATCAGATCTGCCTGTGAACCCTCTATAGAGGGCAGATCGCGCGAGGAACAGAAGAACGCACTGCTGATGCAGCACCGCAAACGGCTGCAGAGAAGCACAAGGTCAAGGTCAAACGGACAGCTGTTGCAAGAGCTTCACTGTCTGGGACCCTTATACTCACTGCCCCCATGTAAATTCCAAACCCTAAACCCTAACACTCCAACCATATACTGCAAGTCCCCATTTACCTATACGTGGCCCCAAGACGTATCCCCTGGGTCACATTATGAGGGTCCCTCCTTTTCTCCGATCTGCTCGGCCCTGCAGGTCTGCAAGGTCAATGTCTGAACCCAACAAGCCCGAGTTCACTTCAGAAGGTATACTTGTCGCAGTGTGCCTTGGCAGCTTCTGTGACGCTAGCAAAGAAAACCAAAGCTCCCGTGTTTTGGGTTCGCTTCTTTCCCCTAGCATGAGCGTTTAGGGTTTCGGGTTCAGGGCCTACAGTTGCTACATGCGCATTAATATATTACACGCCATCAAAGCAGATATAGACCCAGAAGCACACTCTTTGCCAAGGGAGGCCATGATACGCTCAAGGAACGGGAATAACATCGAACGTCGCTTGATGGCGGGGTGTTGCAGCTGCTGCCGCAACCACTTTTCGTAGGACCACCCGTTCCCGCCACACAGTCCTTGCCATACCTGAGCTCAACTACCTAGACCCCCCCCCCAATTCTAGTTCGTGCTCGGGGAACCACAAGATCTTCTTTTTACTGACCTTGCAATGAAGCACTGCACCTACCGGAACATACACCAAATCAACATGTGACTACAGCTGTGGGTCTAGGTAAGCTATAGGACCGGTTGTGGGGTTCCGACGTTTCTTCCAACTGCAGATTCCTAGGGTATCTTGGTAGGCCAGTAACCATACTATGATAAGGGCACCCTTTTTTGGGTTGGTTATTTTATAAGGGAACCCATAACCAAAAAAAGAGGGAAAAAAAAGGGGTAAAGGGTACTACCAGGTATAGATGAGGGCAGGGAGCGATGGTTGATTCGACCTCTAAGACCCTGTGGAGCAGTTCTTCAAAGCTTCAAAGCTACCCCAGACCTGGACCCCTAGACCCCCTAAACCCCTGAAACCCCTAAACCCCTTAAATCCCCTAAACCCCCTAAATCCCCTAAACCCTTAGGGTTTTGGGGTTTCGAGCTTCGGGTTTTGGAGTTTCTGGCCGTTTCGGGTTTAAGGTTTTGGTGTTATAGAAGGGCTGGGCCGAGGCGTTGGCGCCCGGATGGCCGCTTTATCCGTTTTGGGAGCCTGGCTACGTCTTGCCCCGCCAGCCACTACTGGCAACAACGCGAGTGCACGCGCAGCAGCTTCCTCCCTGATCGAAGTCCTTGTCAACGCTGTGCTGGCTGGCCTCGTGCATTTTGTCAACCCACACACACATCTCTGCAACCTTCAAGCCTACAGCGAACCGTGCCGGATTGGCTTCCGAAGATAGGGTCTGGGCTTTTGAGTCATGGCAGGTGTAGGCATAGGTTACATAAGAAGTACCTAAGTTTAAGGGTTAACTAGGACTGCACTGGCCTGCAAGCTGACATTCGCGTGGTGTGAAGACTCGTGTTCAACCGCGGGACGTACCGAGCCCACGAGACCCATCAACGCCATGGCAACGAGGATGCGGGTCATGATGCTGGGCATCAGATCTGCCTGTGAACCCTCTATAGAGGGCAGATCGCGCGAGGAACAGAAGAACGCACTGCTGATGCAGCACCGCAAACGGCTGCAGAGAAGCACAAGGTCAAGGTCAAATGGATACCTGTTGTAGCCAGACCAATGTGTAGAGCTTCACTGTCTGGGACCCTCACGACCTTCATGTAAATCCTAAACCCTAAAGCTCTAAAGCCTAAACCCCAACCATATACCCAGAAAGTCCCCGTGTACCTAAGTGCCCCAGGACTTTTGAGTCTCAACTCATTATGAGGGTCCCACCTTTTGTCTCTTAATCCGCTGCTTCTGGGGACGTTGGGGGACCCTCAGGATTTAAAGTTTCATTAGGGTTCTGAGGGTTCTCCC